TATGGTCGACTGTGCTCCTTTGTTTTGTCAATGTCAGTGTTTGAGTTTGTGAATTATGTGTGCCTAAACTCTTACGGTCTTCAATCCTTGTTTTAAACTTTCTTCTAACACAGAGTTAAATGTTCAAGTCCTACTTTGCAAGAAGAACTTTATCTTTATTCTTTGAGAAATATGTTTGTAACTGGTTGGCATTTCAACATAAGCAAGGTGAGACAAACTAGTAGGATCCAACTTCATGTTAATATTAAACCCTAGTTGTAGGGGGTGATTTTGTGTCCTGTGTGTCCTAATGTTAGCTTGTTCAACAGGCTAACATCACCTGCCTTTACCTAATGTCACCTATATCTGTTCAGTATTTCTTTCACACCAACACACTACAGCAAACAGTAGCTACCTGACAAACGACATCAAGAGAAGATAAACCTTTATTGATCCCCAGCAGGAAATTGGGTTGTTGCAGCCATACAAAGACAGCAATAGTACAGCTTGATATATAGAGCTATATAAACTAAAATAAGAACAGATTATTTAGTAGAAATAAACTAGTATCACTGCCCTGCAGTTGTATGGCCTCAGGCACCAGTCAGGTTTCTTTTACAGTTAACATCCATGTCTGTATGAATATGGATGCTTCACACACATTGTCAACGGAGCCCCCCCCCCCCCCCCCCCCCCCCCCCCCCCCCCCGACAGCAGAGAAGATCTATACCATCAGCACAGTTTCAAGATAAGTGTCACCAATTCAGTATATATATACCAAATATTTCCCCTTCCGTTCTTGGGATACGATGTCAAATAATGGCCAGAAAAAGTGTTTTATGCAGAACATTATGATGTCACAGTGAAGCTGACCTTTGACCTTTTGGATATAAAATGTTATATCGTCATCATTTTATCTTATTAGACATTTGTGTTTTTGAGATACTGTATTCATGAGAATGAGACGGATGCAAGGTCACAATTACCTTGACCTTTGACCACCAACATCTCATGAATACATTTTGAGTCCAACTGAATGTTTGTGCCAAACTTGAAGAAACTCCCTCAAGGTAGTCTTAAGATAACACGTTCACAAAAATAAGACAGATGAGGACACTTAGACCTTGACCTTTGACCATCAAAATAGAATCAGTTC